CTTTAATGCTGTAGGTTTTATTGTTGTGTGTGGCTGTGTTTGCAGCAAGGGTTTTTTGCATTGACTGGTCGCGTTTTCTTTATTCTTCCCATAAGTGGGTAGCTTCCTGTTGATTAAATTTTTTTTGTCAGTTTGGTGGTTGTCTGAAGGCCAAAATGGGTGTTTCAGAGAAAATGTTTTTCAGAGTCTCATCTTCTGTTAACATTGGTTGTAGGTCTTCCTCAAGATGCTGGATATAGGCCTGCATGCATATCCTGTAACTGTTAGATAGGAATTCATGCATTCTTAATATAAGTAATTATTTAGTTTTTACTCTCCTCTTCTAGCACCATCTTCTGCACTGTTCCTTTTTTTTCTCTCTCTCCCACCATACTCTGTGATCTTCACACCAAATATTTACAACTCTCTGGGAGAATGGTGCCTATTTTCTATCAAACCAGTGTCTTATCTGCACTCATGTCATTTTAACCCCTGTATCACAACTCAGCTTTGAATTCTATGTGTCGTCTTGCTCAGAAATGCTTCAGACTTGAGAAAGGAAGATTCACCCGAAAGCTTATCATTAAAAAAAGAAAGATACAAATACATATACAATCTCTACTTAAACAAGTATGCTAAAAGAAAGAGTCCAATAATGCAAAATGTGCTGCGCTTGATAAATATATGATTTACTTAAGTAGGTGAATGAATGTGTTTAAATTAATTGCCCTGAACAATAAAGAACCACTCCACGCCCATAAAGCATATCTGCTTGAGAAATTGGTGCTTTTATAAATAATTAGAGTTAAGCGAACTCGAACTGAAAAGTTCGGGTTCGTACCGAACATTAGGATTTTGGACCCCGGACACGAACACGGACAAATCACTATATGTTCGGGTTAGAGTTCAGTGTTCGGCGATTTAATGGCACGTTTTCAAAGGCTGCAGGGCAGCCAGTCAACAAGCGTTTGACTTGTGTGCCCTTATCAGCCATCACAGCCATTCCTACTAATGGCGTGGCTGTGATTGGCCAGTGCAGCATGGCCTCTCTACGCTGGAGTCAAGTAGTGCCGCACGCACATGCAGTCTCATTAGTGTAGGGAGAGGATGCTGCCGCAGATAGGGACAGTTTAGGAAATAATTCTGCAAACTAGCTCATTAGTGGGGTGGGGTGCACTTCATATCTGAGAGTCAAATAGAAGCTTCAAATACCGCGGTTACATCGGAGTTTTTAAAAGTAATTTTATTTTTGGGTGCTAACTAGTACATTAGTGGGGTAGTACATTAGTGGGGTGCACTTCATATCTAGAATCGTCAAATAATGCTGTCAAATAGAATCGTCAAATAATGCTGTCACATTGCAGTTTTGAAACTTAAAATTTTTTGGGTGCTAAAAAGTACGTTAGTGGGGTGCACTTCATATCTGAGAGTCAAATAGAAGCGTCAAATACTGCTGTTACATTGCAGTTATAAAACGTAAAAAGAATTGGGTTCTAAACTGCTAAATAGTATTTCAGTGGGGTGCACTTCATATCTGAGAGTCAAATCGAAGCATCTAATAGTGTGCTTACAGCGCAGTGGTAAACATTCTTATTTTCTGGGTGCTAATCTGCAAATAGTATATTTTGGGGCCTGTTCTTCATATCTGAAAGTCAAATCAAAGCGTCTAATAGTGTGCTTACTGCACACTTGTAAACATTCTAATTGTTTTGCTGCTAATCTGCTGCTTACATTGGAGTTTTAAAAAGTTTTTTTTTGCGCTAAATAGTATATTTGTGGTGTTCACTTCATATCTGAGAGTCAAATAGAAGCGTCAAATAGTGCGCTTGCTGCGCACTTGTAAACATTCTAATTGTTTTGCTGCTAATCTGCTAAATAGTACATTTTGGGGCCTGTGGTGCACTTCATATCTGAGAGTCAAATCAAAGCGTCTAATAGTGTGCTTACTGCGCACTTGTAAACATTCTAATTGTTTTGCTGCTAATCTGCTAAATAGTAAATTTTGGGGCCTGAGGTGCACTTCATACCTGAGAGTCAAATAGAAGCGTCAAATAGTGTGCTTACTGCGCAGTGGTAAACATTCTTATTTTCTGGGTGCTAATCTGCTAAATAGTAAATTTTGGGGCCTGTTCTTCATATCCGAGAGTCAAATCGAAGCGTCTAATAGTGTGCTTATTGCGCACTTGTAAACATTCTAATTGTTTTGCTGCTAATCTGCTAAATAGTAAATTTTGGGGCCTGCGGTGCACTTCATATCTGAGAGTCAAATAAAAGCGTCAAACTGTGCGCTTACTGCGCACTTGTAAACATTCTAATTGTTTTGCTGCTAATATGCTAAATAGTAAATTTTGGGGCCTGTTCTTCATATCTGAGAGTCAAATTGAAGCGTCTAATACTGTGCTTACTGCGCATTGGTAAACATTCCAAATGTAAACTGCTAAATAGTACATTTTGGGGCCTGCTCTTCATATCTACAAGTCATGCTACAACAAAATTAAACAAGTTTTAAAATATGTATGGGCCAACCAGTGGCTGTAAACAACAAAGTTTTACTGGTTACATTCATGACTACACACTCTACTGAACAGGACCTTCATGTAGTATGTTCTTTTTTTAAATCATAGAGCATCCTTTCATGTGCTTTTCAGATGTCATATTGTGAATTACCAATTTTTGTGTAGCCTGATTTTTAAAAAAAAAAGTGAAAAATAAGTGTTATTGTGATCACTTCATATACAGAAGCATTAATATACATTTCTATATTGTGTAAAGACACAACTACAAAGTTAAAAAACAAACACCAAAACAACTTGCCAGACAATGTACCTGTGCATGGTTAGTGTGATACAATAAGTCTACATCTTAAAAATGCAATAACCCACAGAAGATGGGCGAGAATTTTTTTTGCAAATGGAACTTTCAAATTTGCTACATCAGTCACTTGTAATATTGTTTCACACCTACAACACTTGTTACACAGATCTAAGTGATGGAAAACAGATTGATATTTTCTACACTAGAAACTACTGCTATATTTAAACCAGTGATCAAGAGCTAAGAGGTACTTCAACAATATTGTAATTCTAGGGCAATACCCTCACAAGTTAAACTGAGAGGTCAGTTTATAGGGAAAACTGTTGCCTGGAGGAAATTCTAAAACAATTTCCATATGTCCTTTGCAGACTTTACATGCTGGAAAAACACAGGTGCCAACTGCTGTGGCTTTCTGCAGTGTGCATACCGGCAAGGAGGCCAGGGTTGAGGAGTAGATGGAAGATGATGTGGAGGATGATGAGGTCCTAGACCCCACATGGAATCAAGGTCATGCGAGTGACGTGTGCAGTTTGGAGGAAGAGGCGCTGTGGCACAGAGACACAAGCACAGCATAAGAGGGAGCAGGGTGCAAAAGCGTAATGGCCGTCCCCTTGCGCTCGTCGGCATGTATTATCTTGAGAATTACCAGTTATCCAAGTAATACATGTAGCGATCAAAGGATCCATAATAGACTTGAGTGAACCCGAACGGCAAAGTTCGGGTTCGTACTAGATTTAACGATTTATCATTCGTAGTTTCACAGTGAGGTAGGCAGTCCGGTGACCAGGACCCAGACACTGTCAGGATGTGACATTTACTGTAGCAGCTGTGCGCGCTTTTGGCGCTGTCACCCTGCTGCTGCTAGCCTGTCTGCACTACAGCGTAACTTCAACCTTCCCGCTCACCGCCTCATGAGACTTTGCGAGCAGCAGCAGTCAATAGTGGAGTTTCAGCTGTAGCACGCACAGGTCAGTGGCTCTGCACCAGATTTCCCTCCAATTGATCAGAGTTAAAGGATTTCAAGTGGACTCATTACAATTACAGGGACTCTAAAGTGTCCTGTATAGTTATTTGTCGTCACTACCTTCCCGCGTCGGGAGTGGGTCATTTGCGCGCCTGCTGCCTTCCTTGCATGTGGTAGCCGTTTCTCAGGGTCCCTGTACGGAATGGAACCCTAATTCCCCGTGACCCATTGTCACCATGGTAGGAGCAGAAACTGGCATCAAAAGTTGATATGGATGACATCCAAATGTAAAGTCGCCATCACGGGGATGTGCGATTGACCCGAGGTTCTCTAGAGTCAATAAAGTGCCTGCGCAACTATAATGTCAACAGCTACTCTGCGGAACAGAGTTTACTTTTTTTATATGTCCCAATATTTTGGAGGCTACCCTAATAAAAATAAAAAAATAAAACATTTATATATATATATGTATATATATATATATATATATAAACAGTGTTGGCTACCTCATCCTCCTCCTCCACCGCCAAGGTCATCGCCTCCTCAACCTATGGGTCACTTAGTATAAACTAGGTACACATTAACAGAGGCTTGTGAAGCCCTTTTCTCCATGCTTCAGGACTGCAAGAAATGCACCGCAGGCTGCAAATGTTTCTTTATTTGTATGTCCCAATATTATGTGGGCTACCACAATTAAAACAAAAAAACATAAAATACAGTGTTGACTATCTCATCCTCCTCCTCCACCGCCACTGTCAACGCCTCCTCAACCTATGGGTCATTGAGTATAACCTAGGTACACATTAGCAGAGGCTTGTGAAGGCCTTTTCTCCATGCATCAGGACTGCAAGAAATGCACCGCAGGCCGCAAATGTTTCTTTATTTGTATGTCCCAATATTTTGTGGGCTACCACAATTAAAAAAAACAAAAACATAAAATACAGTGTTGGCTACCTCATCCTCCTCCTCCACCGCCACGGTCACTGCCTCCTCAACCTATGGGTCACTTAGTATAAACTAGGTACACGATAGCAGAGGCTTGTGAAGGCCTTTTCTCCATGCATCAGGAGTTGAGCCCAGTTTGAACAATGAAAGAGAATACCCTGCACTCCAACCCTTTCTCAAATGGATAATTCTGTTACTCCTCCTGACAGCCATGCTTTAGAGTTTGATTTATGTTCTTCCAAAGCTAAATTCAAAGATTCCATCTAGTGCTATTTTATGGCTCAGCTGTATTTTTAATTTTTATGTTATTTTAAGTGATTTCCCTATCCACATTTATTTGCAGGGCACTTGTCCTACTCTTACCCCCCATTTTACGTCCTTTTGCAGCTCTCTAGCCCTTTCCAGGAGTTTTTTAGAGGCATTTTTGTGGCCAAAAGTTCGGGTCCCCATTGACTTCAATGAGGTTCGGGGTCAAATTCGATCATGAACCCAGACTTTTTTTCAAAGTTCATCCGGACTCGCCGGACCCAAACATCATGGTGTCCACTCAACTCTATAAATAATCAAAGTTTCTCATGACTGTCAAACAGTCAGGGAGTTTTTTTTACTGCTCCTGTTAGCTTCCTTGAGCTGACAAAAGTGACAGACATGCTCTTCTTGAGTGTGCCTGCTTTCCTTTTGCATAACTCCTTCTCAGAATTAGCTAAAAAGTGGATTTAGTGGCAAGCTTTTTTTTCTTTTTTTTTTTTACTTACCCTAACTGTGTAGGGTTTCACTAATTGCTG